TCACGTGCGGGCGCTGTCACGTGACACCAGGTCACGTGGGGCGGTCGTGCCTGGCGCACCTGGGCTGGGGTTTCGCGGCTCTGCGGTCCTGGCGCGCTGGCGCAGCCTCGGAGCCCACTGCGCCGGGAGGCTGGGATGGTGAGGGCAACGGGCCGGGCAGGAGAGGGAACGGCCTGGGCTGGGGCCGCTGTCCCTGCTGCCCTCAGGCTCAGCCTGTCTCCTCGTTTTTTTCGCTGCAGAGGAACCGGATGACCCCCGACCAGGAGCGGGCGCCGGCGTCCGAGCCCGTGTGGGAGCGGCCGTGGTCGGTGGAGGAGATCCGTAGGAGCAGCTAGAGCTGGTCGCTGGCGGCCGACGCTGGCGTGAGAGGCGGGCCCGGGGACGCGAGGGCGGCGGGGGTGACGCTCGGCCTGCGCGCGGGAGGACAGGGCCGCGACTGCCCCTGTACCCGGGCCGTCGGGTTGCCTGCACTCTTAGGAACACAGGCCCCTCATAGCCCTGGAGAATGCCAGCCTGGCAGCCCCCGGCCACCGGGGAGAGCGGCGGACCCGGACCGCGGCCCAGACGCGGCGGTTTCTGGGGGTTTCTGGCAGTGCCGCTCAGCTCCATCCAGAGGGGAGATCCCTTTCCGCCACGCTGAGGGATTGCTCCAGCACTAGCGAGGCGATTCTTGTTGGGACCTGGACTAAGTGGGGCGGGAGACAAGCCAGTATGTGGATATCCTTTAGTGAGATTCTTCATGTCGGGGGCCCAAAAAGCTCCCTCAAAACTGTAATTCCAGAGTCCTAAATGAATAGGATTTTTGAATAAGAGTGGTAGCTGGTTATCTGACCCTTGCTCTGTGATCTCTGTAGACTGATAACCAAAGATGACTTTTAAAAAGAGACAGGGTTTTGCCCTGTCACCCAGGCTGGAGTGCAGATGGCTCGATCTTAGCTCACTGCATCCTCCGGGGCTCAGGTGATCCTCCTACCTCAGCCACCTGAGTAGCTGGGACTATAGGCAGGCTCCACCACACCTGATTTATTTACTTTTAGTAGAGACAGGGGCCTTGCTATGTTGTCCAGACTGGTCTCCAGCTCCTGGCCTCTAGCGATCACCCCACCTCAGCCTCCCAAAGTGCTGGGATTACAAGGTGGACCACCATACCATTAGCTCACTGCCACTCTTTTGATGAGCTTTGTTAGTGATTTTCAGTGTCTCTTGGTTTTAGTAGTTGTCAAAAGGAGCATTCAGACTGGACGCGGCGGTTGACGCCATCCGTCTGACACTCTCGCAAGATCTCCGCTGTGATCCCCCAGAAGCCCTTGACTGCCCTGTAGAAGGCACAGAACGCAGGCGCACACTCCGTCCCGCCCTTGCAGTGTCCTTTCGCCCTCCATGAATAAATCAAATGAAGCAAACATGTTTTTTTGAAGGCAAATTCTGTGCCGAGGACCATCCCAAGTGATTCATATGTCCTCACAAAATAGATATTATTTAGATACAGAAGTGATTCTCATAAGACATAGCAGGGCATATGACGTATGATTACTCCTTTGCCACATATTTTTTTCTAAAGATTGAGTAAATAGGCCGACGGCGGGGGATCCCGCCTGTGATCCCAACACTTTGGGTGGCCGAGGCGGGTGGATCACGAGGTCAATAGATCTAGGCAATCCTGGCTAACACGTGAAACCCTACTCTACTAAAAATACAAAAAATTAGATGGGGTGGTGGCACGCGCCTGTAATCCCAGCTACTTAGGAGGCTGAGGCAGGGGAATCGCTTGAACCTGGGAGGCGGAGGTTGCAGTGAGTCGAGATCACGCCACTGTACTCCAGCCTGGGTGACAGAGCGAGACTCCGTCTCAAAAAATAAAAAAAAGGATGAGTAAATTAATATTCAGGGCCCAGATGCTTTTTTTCTTTCTTTTCTTTTCTTTTTTCTTTGAGACAGGATCTGGCCCTGTTGCTCAGGCTGGAGTGCAGTGGAACAATTTCAGCTGGGGGCAACCTCTGCCTCCTGGGTTCAAGTGATTCTCCTGCCTCAAACTGCTGAGTAGCTGGGATTACGTACATACATGTCCCATGATACCCGGTTTTAAAATTTTTTTTGTGGAGACAGGTCTTGCTGTGTTGCCCAGACTGTTCTCAAACTGGGCACAAGCAATCCTCTTACCTCACCTGAGATTACAAGCGTGAGTCACCACATCCAGCCTACAGCCCAGATTATAACTCACATTATTTACTTGTGACCAGTTGTTAAAATAGTGCTTCTTTCTGTCTCAGTTTCGACAGAGGTCCTCCATACTTGGTTGGCAACTGCTTCCCCACATTCCCCGGCAAAGGAGAAGATCATAGCAGGGTTTTATGGATCCCACCCAAGAGTGGCTCCTACATGGGGCAAGGCAACCTCATTACAAAACAGCAGAAAGAGTAGATTCTGATGCAGAAGCTAAGACGACAATCATAGCCTGTGAGTGGAAGGGGAGCTGTGGAGAGGCCCACAAAACTCCCAGGAGGAAGTCAGCCTAGAACATGACCTCAGGCAGAAGGAGCCCTTAATTCTCCTGTCCCCTATTCCCTCACAATTCAGATACGCCCCTGAAGGAGACTTCATATGACTCAAAATGTAACTCAAACCACCATTTAAAATTATCTGAAGCTGACCAAGAAAGCTAAGGGACCTGTCTAGATTGCTCAGCTGGCCCACATAGCATATTTAAACAGATGGGGGACAAGGGAAAATAAAGCTGTTTATCAGTTGCCCACTGATTGTTCAACAGATGACTGTTTGCCTATTTCTGATCTGTCACATACATACAGCTGACTCCAAGACCCAGGAGAGCAGGGTTCTCTCCCGAGATCTCTCTGGTTCACTGCTGTACCCCCAGGTCCAGAGCACTGCCAGGCCCAGGTGCTCTGTACAGGCCTGTTGAATGAACAAATGTTCTCTATCACAGAAACTGTCAAAAGAGAATTGATGTTGTCATTGTTTTAAGCCATTAAGTTTTGGGTGCTCTCTGTATAGCAGGAGATAACTGATGCTGAGGCCTTGCTCCCAGGCCACTCTCCATCAGCAAGGCAGACCCCTGGCCTTGAATTCCCCTCGGCCTGCATGTGGCCTTGGGGGCACTTGTTCAGGCTGTCTTGTTCTAACCTGCTTTCAGCTCAGGCAAACACAGAGGAATGTGGGGGACACATCATAGAAGACACTTCCTGATGAAGAGGAAGGAGGGATAAACAGGAACACCTTAAAGAAAAGAAGGGATCTAATTTCAGCTTGAAGACACACATTTTTTTTATCCTTTACCAGCCAGCAGGACATGGGCAGCAGAGTGCAGACATCACAAACAGCAAGAGTGGCAGCAGTCCCCCGAGTAAGGGACACACAATGACCCATTACAGAGTTTAGGAAAAATAGAACTTTTATTCATATGCATTTTGTTTGGGGTTGGATTTTTTTTTTTTTTTTTTTTTTTGGACGTCTGACCCTTTCACCCAGGCGGGAGTGCAGTGGTGTGATCTTAACTTACTGCAAGCTCCGCCTCCCGGGTTCAAGTGATTCTCCTGCCTCAGCCCCAGAGTAGCTGGACTACAGGTGCCTGCCACCATGCCCAGTTTCACCATGTTGGCCAGGTTGGTCTCAAACTTCTGACTTCAAGTGATCCGCCCACCTCAGCCTCCCAGAGTGCTGGGATTATAGGCATGAGCCACTGTGCTCAGACATTCATATGTATTTTTGTCTCCCTTTTTAAATGTTTTGTATGCTTTATAATGTGTATTAAATCAATGTATATATAAGTTACAAATTAAAAGTACACACATATTCAAGTGTTTGCTCAAAAATATTTTACTGATAGGCAGGGCTACACCATCATAGACTATTAGAGGCCAGAGGAGAATGAGGCCTGGCCTGGGAGCCCTGTGCCTACTAGAAGCACATTACGATATCCATCCACTGACACCACAGGGCCTATTTGGGTCCTTCTTCTCCACCACACTTATCTTGCAGGTCTCCTTATTAAAGATTTTCCGGCAGTTGTGTCTGTCATAACCCACAGGTGTAGAAACACTGTCATTGAGACAAAACCAGAGCCTGTTAGAGGAGAAAGGGCCACCAGAACCCCCTCCTCAGTGCCACCCCTCTGTTCAGAAAGGCACCCACGCTCCAGCTGGCTGGAGTGCCTTCACCAACTTAAGGAAACCTCTTGACTGGCAGCCCCAGAGTGTGACCTCCAGGAACATGGACCAGTCTATACTGTAGAGTCACACAGCCCACCCCTACATTCCATCCTGCAGTCACAGAAGGTCAGCGGTAGGTGCTGACAGGCAGAGGCAAGTCTGGCTACTCTGGAGCTAGGCAGCTTGTTCCAGGCTGGCTC